CATGTCCCCCCCCCCCCCCCCCCCCCCCGCTTTCCACCTATTCGTCCCACTCCTTTTTGGCCTCTCGTGGGATCTATTTCCCCTGTCTGCCCGTACATTTTGTATATTCTCTAGAATATACTCTACTGCCTGAGCAATCTCGTGTACTATGTCATTTTAATCCTCATCTCTATGCATAATCATAGGCACTCAATGGATGTTAACTGAGAAAATGACTCCTAAATCTCCTTTTCTTCTCCCTGAACCTCAGACTTGGATATTTCTGTCCTTCTGGAAGGAATGGTACCTCTCCAAGCTGAGCGTATCACGAGACAGATTCCCCCCTCATACTCGTGTTGAGTTTTTAATATTCATCTTTATTAATTTTATCCCGAATGTGCATATGAAGTATCCTGGATCAGAGACTGATTTCTTTGAATTACCTAACAGGGAATATCATCACTGTCTCACCCCTTCTCACGGCCTTTACCCCAAGTCTTACTCCTGGTAAAGTAAGAGCCAGTGGTGAGAGCCAATGGAAAAGTTTCCCACATGACTGGCTACATATTCCCTAGGCCAGAGACAAGGAGAAAGGATTTTTCTATTATAAAGGGGAAGGAAGCCTCCCGATAGGGTCTCCTTGGAAACATAAAGGGCCTGAGTCCTAACTCTAACCTTTCTAAAAGCCAGATAGCCCTATGTAGCTTGGATTTTACAAACTGGAAATGTCACCGAGGTCTGGGCTTTTTTCCCAACCTGTAAAGACCTAAAGAGAGAGCCACCCCAGTCTTGCTGACAACTTGGAACTTAACCTGGGAACTTCCTCTGGGCTCTAACAGTTTGATCCTCTTGGATGAGAGAAATTGACTAGACGAATGACTGCAGATCAGTTCCCATGGGAAGGTTCTCGGAGCCAGAGCTCTTTATAGGTGTGCTGAGAAATGCAGGAGGCTTTATTTCCTCGAATGCGGTCTAATTGCACCCAGAATTCACTCATCTACCCAACCTAGACGCTAGAAGTCTTCCTTCCTTCTTCCTCTCTCTTATCACTGGCATCTCTTCAGTCACCAAATTCCCACACCTCTACACTCTAACATTTTCCTACTCTATCCTTTTTTTTTTAGCGGGGGGTGGGGGGTGGGTTCCACTGCCCTGGATCAGATCCTCATAATCTTTCAGTAAATTCTTCCAGTTGCCTCCTAACTGGTCTAATTCCATTTCTGCCCTTCTCAAAGACACGCTCTGTATTTATGTCAGGGACATCTATTTGAAACACACACATGCCCACACCACTCTCCTGCTTAAATACTCTCAAAGCCCCCTGATCTCCTGGGGGCACCTGGGTAGCTCGGTCAGTTAAGTATCTGACTCTTTATTTCGGCTCACATCATGAGATTGAGCCCTATGTCGGGGTCCATGCTGGGCGTGGAGCCTGCTTGAGATTCTCTCTCTCCTTCTTCCTCTGACCCTCCCCTGCTCGCTCTCTCACTCTCTCAAAAAAAAAAAGAAAAAGAAAAAAGAAAGAAAGAAAGAAAGAAAGAAAGAAAGAAAGAAAGAAAGAAAGAAAGAGAAAAGAAAGAGAACTGGCCTACTTGAGAAAACTTGGGATGTGGATAATATATGCCATACTGTATTATGTCTAATGTCTTCACACATGTATTTTCGTTGGTTTTCTTCTCCCTCCTCTAATCTGCACTTCGCTGGCTAATGCACATTCATGCTTTAGAATTCTTCATGAATACTATCTTCTCTAGGGAGCCTTTCCCAATTTCCTTTCCCATATGATGCAAACCTCTAGCACTTTCCACACCATTTTGAAATTATTTCTGTGTTTGACTCTTCTTCTGTATACCAGTTTCTAAATGGGAGGGGTTGTTTTGCATTCAACTTTGCGTTTCTAGTTTCTTATACAGCTACTGACACACAGTAGTTCAACAAAGGGAGCCATTATTGTTTTATAATTAGTAATGTCAAAGTCAATTGCCTCCTATCAAGTCCAAATGGAGAGACTAGAAAAAATGATAATTTTTTTGAAGTTGGGAAAATTAAATGTATGAGAAAATATAAGAATACAAGAACTGTATACACATACACACGCGTGCACATGCACACACACACACACACACACAGATTTCAAATGAGATATTAGAGGGAGAATCAGCCTTACACGTAAGCAGAATAAATAACCCACCTACCCCGTATTATAATACCTACTCTGTATTATTTCAAGAGGACAAAAATATCTCACTGTACCGAAACTACATCCCCATCCAAAGACTGAATCCTAATATTTCACTTCTAGAACTTTATTATTTCAATTCAAACACCTTGCCTCGGGGCGCCTGGGTGGCTTGGTCAGTTAAGTGTCTGACTCTTGATTTTGGCTCCGGTCATGATGTCACAGTCATGGG